TTTAGCTCCAAAAATAAAAATGTCTCAAAAATATAGATCTCTGTTACATGAACTAACAAAAGATGATGATAGCTTTCACTAATGAAATACCTATAGTGCTTTTTATGCTGCACCCACTTAATAGAGGACATAATATTCTCTTTGTCTCTCTCTCTCACACACAGTCAGTGGCAAAAACATGGAAGTAGGGTTGATTTGAGTGAGTTAGTTATAGCCCAATGATCAAGGTTATATGTCAGATAAACATGACAAAAACTGTGCATAATTATAGTATATTTTTCATATAGTTATTGCATACATTTTCAACAAGTTAATGATCAGGAAAGTTGAGAGAGTAATAAACTTATTTTTGAAGAAATGGTCCCACTTGCTCAAAAAGAACAACTATTGCCTTGTTGAAATAGTAGGCTGTTGTCCTCTAGTGACTCAGCCACTAGTGGTGAAGACATCCCACACATAGCCAGAGTTGTACCTCCAAAATACTTATCAGTTATTAAAATTAAACATCTAGGGTTATTTTACTGTAGTCATGATAACTTAGTTGAATTACACAATATTCTGCTCAAACCAGAAAGAGAAATTTTAAATGTAAATGTTTAATTGAAATATACCCAGGATCCTTCATGGGAGGAAGATACAATACCGTAAAGTTTGTCTTTGTATTACTTTCCTTTTTACCTGATATGTTTTTTCTTAATGTTGAATGATACTGGCATATGCACATAGGGCTGCTGTCCTCTACTCGAGAGTATCAGAACTGATCAGCTTCGTATTGTAGGCATAACCCGTAGTGATGATACATAATGCTTACATATTAGTAGATCATTTCATTAATAGATCTCCAAGCATTTTGCAAACAAATATCATTATTCCCTTTTTACAGATGGGGCGCATCTAGACTGGCAAGATTTTGCGCAAAATCTTGCCAGCTGTCTACACTGGCCGCTTGAATTTGCGCAAGAGCACTGATGTTCTAATGTAAGAATTCAGTGCTTCTTACGCAAATACTTTGACGCTCTCACTCAGGGATAAACCCTCTTGCGTAAGAATACTTGCACAAGAGGGCCAGTGTAGACAGGCACCTTAATTTTTTGCGCAAGAAAGCCCGATGGCTAAAATGGCCATCGGAGCTTTCTTGCGCAAAAGCGCGTCTATACTGAGCATGGATGCTCCAGTGGTAGGGGCCTTATGATTTGGAGCAAGAATTCTGAATTATTTTCGTACTACTGCCATGAGTTTTCCAATAGCTGTGGCAAGCACCGTAGTGACAAGTGTGAAGTCCTAGATTGTGACATGTTTGTTAGAATTTATTTATTATAAGTTGTGTGTTGTAACATAGCACTCTACAAAGCTATCTTATACCCTTAGCAATGTTGTTTGCAGTATACTGCAACTTTGTAAAGGACTGCTTTCCATGTTCTTCCACCTACTCTTAAACACATGGGCTACGTCTACACTGGCATGATTTTCCGAAAATGCTTTTAACAGAAATGTTTTCCGTTAAAAGCATTTTCGGAAAAGCACGTCTAGATTGGCAGGATGCTTTTCCGCAAAAGCACTTTTTGCGGAAAAGCGTCCGCGGCCAATCTAGACACGGTTTTCCGCAAAAAAGCCCCGATCGCCATTTTTGCGATTGGGGCTTTTTTGCAGAAAACAGTACTATGCTGTCTACGCTGGCCCTTTTGCGCAAAAGTCTTTCGGAAAAAGACTTTTGCCCAAACGGGAGCAGCATAGTATTTCCGGAAAATCACTGACGATCTTACATGAGATCGTCAGTGCTTTTCCGGAAATTCAAGCGGCCAGTGTAGACACAGCTGCTGATTTTCCGGAAAAACTTGCCAGTCTAGACACAGCCATACAGTAAATGAAAAAGTATTTTCTCTTCATATGTTCTCCTCGTGATCCTATTGCTCCCAAGAATAGTAGCTCTGCTTCTTATTATTGTTCTGACTATACTGAAACAGAAAATGGAGCAAAAATGTTAACCTCACCAGAAATGTATGCTGAATTTACTTAACTTTTAAACAAGGTTTCTATGAGGAGAAGTAATCTTTTGCAGAGGAAAGAAAAAAATGGTTAGTTAGGAAAGCTGAGGAGATCTACATTAAGTTATTGGAATCTATTTCAGTTGGTAGGTAAAGGGAGACCAGAATTGTTGAGAATACTCCCTTCATACAATACAGTTCTTCATCATAAGGTAGCAGAGAAGTAAAAGCAATTTTCCCAAAATCTTGTCTCCTGAGGGCAAAAGTGAACCACCAGTGGGTTGTTGTTGTTGTTGTTTTTTAAAGAAACTTTATGTTGGTACAGTTGTGTGTTGTAAATAGCTAGTGGCTTTCCCGATCTGCTCCTTTAGAGGATGGTGATCTAATGGATCTCCTGTGTATCTTGGTGGTATTTAGTTTTGCCTGTGATTCTTAAAATAGTAGTTTATTGACATAGTTTTTGATATATCCTAAATGTATATTATGAAATAATTTGAAATAGAATGTCTTCACAAACTTACAACTATATTTGCTTTTCCAAAAGTGATATAAGACCTTTTCTTAGGAATTAACATAAATTCATGATTATTTCCTTGGAATAATTTAGATTTTTCCCCCCTCTAAATTCAGTACATCATATGCTAATATAAATGGACTGCTTGAATTTCCCTCTAGCCTGAAAGAACACTGCACTGCTATGGAGAATGAATCAAATGCAACAACATGTTCCACATGTACAACCACCACTACCACCACCACCTCCTCCTCTTCTCGGATGCAACCACCACAGATATCTGTCTACAGTGGCTCTGACAGACATGCTGTACAGGTACTGGGCTGTGATGTAGTGTACAGAAGAATGGAAAAAATCATAAAAAATATTCACTGTTTAAAAACTCGTATATGGGCAATAGCACTTGCTTATAAAAACAAATTGGGCAGTGCTGGATGCTAGTAAGTTGAAAGTTTTATTCTTGCTTTCTGCCCTGGCCTTCACTATCTGTGCTTAAGTATTTTCATGAAATATTGATTCTCTACAAAAACTTTCAGTGATAGAAACTGCAAATGACTTGAATCTTGCACTAAGGAGGCTAGATTAAGGATGTTAAGTATCAGGTAATTGACTAATCGAATAGTCGATGCATTTTTGTGTCAACTATTCGATTAGTTGATAGGGCACCACTGCCTTTGAAGTGTAGCCCTAGGGCTGTTGCTACACTTCAAAGGCGAAAGCACCAAAGCCTGGGGTCAGCTGGGGACTCCCCCGCTGACTCTGGGCTCTGCGGCACTCCACTTTGAAATGCCGTGAGGAGCCTGACGCCAGGCTCCCCACGACATTCTAAGCAGCAGCGCCACACAAAGCAGCTGACCCTGCGCTTTGTGCGGCACTGCCTCTTTGAAGTATCCCCTTTCTCCTTTCTCTCCCCCCCGCCGCTTGCTGCCTCTAGGCTAGATTTGTTATCATGATCGTAAGTAGTGGAGTGGATGAAATATCTAGATTCCCTAGAACCACAACCTTGTCATGATGGGGTCAGCTCAGCTCTTCCGTCTTATATATAGATAAATTGTGTTCTATGTATTTTGTATGTGTGAGGTTTTTCTGCTAAGACCTTTTAAAAACTAATATGCATATATATTAATAATCTAATCTTGGCTTCGTGAAGTCAGTGGTAAAACTCCTGTTGACTTAATTGGAGATAGGATTTTATCCTAAAGGTTCAGTGATACATTATCAAAGAGTAGGTATAGAAGGTTGCCCCACTGTTTCTGCCAGTCTTCTCTCTCCAATACTAGCTATTATGCAGTGTTTCTTAGTGCCAGTTATCTCCTTACCTCTCATTCACCTCAGAAGGGTCAGCATTTCAGTACATCTATACAGGCAGTCCCCGGGTTACGTACAAGATAGGGACTGTAGGTTTGTTCTTAAGTTGAATCTGTATGTAAGTCGGAACTGGCGTCCAGATTCAGCCGCTGCTGAAACTGATCAGTTTCAACAGCGGCTGAATCTGGACGCCAGTTCTGACTTACATACAGA